TACAGAACCCAGGTGGGACACCTTTGCTGTCACTGCTACCTGAGCTGGTTGAACTTGGACATCCAGACGCCAAGTCGGTTTTGATCACCATCACCATAAAACTAGCAGGATTAATTTATCACCTAGCAGACAATGAAGGTGTGCTCAACTATCACCATGGTTATAACGTATCTGTACTCACAGAACACTTCAAATTCCTGCACAAAAAAATAAAAGGCATTATAGACACCCAAAAAATAGCTTGGAGAAAACAAACTCCGGGTGCTGTTCCTGACTCCTACACTTATCTCTTGAGTAACTGCCAGCAGGTCACTTATCTCTGTCAGTTCCCTTAGGGTGGACATTCACTTTGTCATGTATAAAAATCTGTCATCCACAGATGTAAAGTACAAAGGAACAACTATCATGTAGTACTGCTAAAATGAAACTGTTTGAATAAGAGATGGTTTATTCAAAACACACTGCAAAGGCTTTTTTCTGAAGTTTTATATCTATGTCCTTGCCCCCAGCTACCTCTCCTTATAAGGAAATAAAGTTATGTTACAGATGAATGCCTACAGTGGTTAATAGCTGCTGAATCATGTTATGCTGACAAGGAATGAACAAGCATTTTAGTGTTTGTGTTTACTGTTTTCTCAATCTTTGGTTCAAAAAGACTTTAAAACACAAAAGTGGTTAAAACTGTAAAAAGAAAGCTTTGCTTCACAAGACCAATGATGCATTCTCCTCTCGAAGCAGGTCTTCTCTTCAGATGATTAGCACATTCATAATTAAAATTCTAAATTTTATTCTTTATTAAACACCTGGATGATATCGTTCACAGCTTAATTACATAAATCAGCATTTTAGAAATTCTTAGGTTGTATTTCTACAACATAATTCTCACCACAGCATTTGGACTCCTGTCAAGTCACAAGCAAGAATTAAAAAGAATCATGGGCAGTCTGGCAAGTTTTAAGTCTATGCTGAGTCTTAATTTATTTTCCAGGTTTTAAGCCTCAATATTCACTTTTTCAATATTTGCAAGTTCTATGAGAACTCAGAGTGCCTTGGGGGAGTGGTGTGTCGAACCTGAGACTCACAGTAGTCATAAGACTCCAGAAACTGGGATCTTGAAGAAAAAAAAGCAAAGGATTTATACCATGTAATCATAGACATTTTCCCACCAAGCAGAGGTTTGAACAGTTTCCCCTCAAAAGATGATATAAAGCAGTCCATATCAAAGCCACAAGACAAAAACCAAAAATTACTACTTTGCAGTTCACCATTATTTTACACAACTCTGCTTAATTTTTTGGATCAGGTGTAACAATCACATTGTGTGATTTAGTTTGTTTCACTACTAAAAAATGAAATGAGACTGAAGGGATTTCAAAGACTCCTTTGCAGCAAAATCCCATCACTTGTATCCTTCAATTCTGCTGGTACAGAAGAAGAGAGAGTTCTCTGAGAAGGCAACAACAATGCAAAGACATCCTAAAGGTACGGTTCACCTAAAAAAGCCCCAAAACATCTAACAACAGAAACCCCCCATAAACACAACACCCCAAAACATACTAGTAGAAGCTTATTTTATATTTCTTTAAAGAAGAACTGGTTTAGCTAAAACATTCACTTAGGATAAGGGGGTAAACTGACATAACAAAGCATGCACAGCTAACATTTCTGGTCAACACTTGCCTTTACTCAAAGGACAAATATCTTTGCATTTATAGCTACACATTCTATGCTTTACCACAGATAAACAAAACACATGGATTATTTTGTTTTAATGACTCTCACAATCCATTCACAAGTATGTATGTCAAAATATTTACAATTAATACTAAATTAACCAGCTGTGGTTCTAATATATCTTACTCTAACTTAGAAGGACACAAGAAACAACCTGAAAGAATTGAGAAAGCAAACATATTGGCAAGTCAAAGTAAATACTTTCTGAAAGTGATATTCAACCTTGTTTCTGGTATTAACCTAACTCCGATTTGTTTCCACAACAGTGCTTCACAGTACATGAAACTGAAACAAAATTCCACTAATACTTTAAACATAAATCAGTAAGAACTTCAGAAACATTTCTGTGAAAATAGAAATACTTTTATCTACTTATTTATTAAGAAAGAAAAAGATGCAGATGACAGCCTTCAAAAGGTAATTCCAATAACGCCTTCCACCAAATCACATAAAACTGTGTTTCAGTTTTCCCAATTAGAAAACTGTAGACCATTTTCTATCCAACATATGATGTTAAAAGACACAGACTTACCAGCTAAGCTGTAAATAAGCAGTTTTGGAATGGTACCATATAAAATACTGATACTAAAAGAAGTGTAAACCAGGGCAGCAAAAGCTATCTACTCAATTCTCAAAGTATTAGACAATGGACTAAGACTGGAATCCACATGAACACCTACAGACATTATCATGACATTTGAAATTAAATCATTCATAAATAAGTTCTCAACATGATTCTAAAGATTAACTGAATATTCTTTTAAGACACAGGTTCTCATTTAAAGGCATTTTGAGTGACTAACCTCTTTCGCTCTCCAATATATGTCTAATGATTAAACTCAGTTTATTTGTATTTCACCAATGTTTCTAAAGTCAATTTACCCTTCATAGCATGCTCCCCCCACTCTCCTTTAAAGCTTCAGTAGCTGACCAGTCAGTTGAGCTTTACTTTGACCTGCTAACTTGCATTTATACCAAATACTAAGGTTTTCCTTTGTATTACTTAAGAACAAAACTTCTTTCATCCTGAAAACGGCTTGGGGGGGGGGGGGTTGGGAAGGAACAAAAAAATATTCAGCATACTGCTGGAGATGAAGTTACTTCTGTGATACAATCTATGATTTGTTAAAGCAAAGTAACTCTTCACACTGCTAACCTCTGAACTGAAGGGGGGGGGGGGAAAGGGAAAGCTGCAGGTGGGTTCTCACACATCATCCCCACTGTGGTCATACTAGGCTGAATTCATACAACCTAATGGTTGTTTCAGCAGTTTTTTTCCCACTTAAGGTTTTGTTCCTACCCACGTTAGCAACAACACATTACCTACACTTTAACTAAGGTGTGCATATAAACAGGACTTATGTTATAAATACCAAAGGTTTTTTTCTACCCCTAAAACCTCCCCTGTGAAACTTTCAGTGGTCAAATTCTAAGGTACAACTAGAATGCCAGCACTTGGACACAAACATGAATCCTTTGACTAATCTACCACTCCTCCCCCTCACACCAGCATGCCCAGTTCAGAGACTAGACAATTCTTATATTAACATAAATTTATTACTGTTAAAAATATCCTTAGCATAGGATTTTAGAACCCATTAAAGGAAAATAAACATTTAGCATATCAGGATCTTACACATTTGAGTATAAACTACTCAGCAATACAGCAATGGAAGTTAAACCTCCACTTCGGCATTTTGGTATGAATTAGGGGTGTGCTACTGAAGCAAACTTTCCAAACATCCCACTTACTGTGCTTTTGTTCGTTTTGCAAGATGGACCTGGACAACAAGAGTAAGTTCTTTTTCAGACCAAAATAAAACTGGGAATCATTCTTTAGAAGCTTCCCAGTTCCAAAGAAGAACGTACTTCTTTAGAAGCCCAAACACGAAGGGATTCAGCAGACCTAGCTCAAAGGAAGCCCTTCTTAAAAGCTTCTGATGTGGATATTCTGCTTTCAACAACAGTTTCTCTCTGCAAATCTGCCACTTTTGGGCCTCACTACTTGCTAACATACACACAGACTTACATGTGTTACAACACCCAAGAGCAATTATGTTATTTAAGTCAACTTTAAACACAAACCAGAGAATAAGATCTGCAATATCTTAGCTGCTTTAATTTGAAACCACCATGTCTGACAAGAATATACTCTTCTGTTTTCTCTTCAGTAAGGTATAATATTTAAGATTAAATAACTGTCTATTACTAGAATATCCAGAGCTCTGCATAACCTTAATTTACAGTGTTTCTGGACTGCAATTACTCCATTACTACAGTCAAGTGTTTTTCACACAATGAAAGTGCCTTCCTAAAGTGCCTCAAATTAATGGGTCTGTCAAAAGTCACTGCATGACGAAACTGCACATTCAGTTACCTTCACTTCACCTGCACTGCAAGAACATTTGCTCTTCCCTTTTTCAATAAAACAAACATTTACAGGACCCAGTTGCATATGAGCTTGGGATTACTGTTATATTGCCACACTAAAATGGAGAATGCAAACATAAATGGGCAGAAAAGCAAATGATTCTTCTTTTATAATTACTACATTTTCAGCATACCCTAGAGCATGCCAAGTACCTCACCATACAGAACAAGACAGACAAGATTTGTACCTCGCTATTTACGGTCTAAAATAAATCTCACCAAGCTCCCACAAAGGGTAACAAACCCTACACACAGTTGCACGTTTCACCCGCGGAAAGCGGGCTTACCGCCAGACTTCCAGCAGGGTTGATCTGTCCCGTTCGCGCACGGCCAGCACCGCGCCTTGGGAGTCCCGCGCCTGTCACCGGAGCCTACGGGCACATGGGCACCCGCGGAAACCAGGGACAAGGCGCTGAGCAATGACTGACTGCCCGACCCCCCGGAGGCGCTGGTCACAGGCCTCAGGGGAAGGTGAAGAGGAGAACACCTGAAACACGCACCGCGGAGAGGGAGCCGGGCACTGACGGGTGCCCGCCGCGGCCCGAGAGCCACCGCCCCGGAGCCCCCGCGAGCGCGGCGGCTCCACACCTCCCCTCTCCCGGGACCCCTCTACCCTCGCTCGGGACGGGCCACCACACCGGCCGCAGAGTGGCGAAGGGGGAGGACGGGCTAGCTGACTAACACCGCCCCTGCGAACGCACTTCAGCCTCCTCTACCACACCTCCCTCCCACGTCCCACGGGGTGCTGCCTTCGCCCCAACGCTACCACTTACCACCACCACCACCACCACTCCAGCCCAGCGGGCACCGACGGCGGCCGGCTCTGCTAAGCTCACCTCAGTGCCGCCTGCTGCCGCCTGTCACCCGCGGGCCGGTCGGCCTGCCAACCGGCAGGAGGTCAGGGCCGCCGTCCTCGGCTCGCCCCCTTCTTCCTCCTCCCCTCGCTCTCCCGAGCTCGGCCACTCCTGACACAGGCTGCGGCCCGACTGCGGCGCGAGCGGTCAGGTGACTCCCAACAACATTACCCGCCTGCGCCCCGCGCACACACCCCGCCCGCTGATTGGAAGCGACTCTCCCAGCCGACGCGCAGCCGCCCACACCGACGTCCAGTGCGCAGGCGCTCCCTGTGCCGCCGCCGGGCCCTGCCGCCCGACTACCTCGCCGCCGGCGGTCGTTGAGGGGCCGCGGTGGCCGTGGAGCTGAGGTGGGCTGTTTGTCACCCCTCTGAGGGGAACGGCGTCGCGGACGGGGAGACTTGATGCCCCCAGAGGGCAGTCGCTGTCCGGATCGGAAGTGCTGCTAGTGGAGCTGGACTCGGCCCCGCAGCTGTCGCCTCGTGTGTCGTCCGGGACGGGACGTGGTGGGGAGGTGCAGGCTTGTGCTGGGAAGTGCCCCGTGTCAGTAGGCTTGACCCGTAGCACAGTCACAGAATCACAGAATCAACCAGTTTGGAAAAGACCTTTAACATCATCAAGTCCTTACCTCAGGACTGCCAAGTCCACTAAACCACATCACTGAGAACATCTACACGGTTTGTGATCTGAATCCCTTCCAGGGATGGTAATTCCACCACTTCCTTGGGCAGCCCGTTCCAATGCCTGAGCACCCTCTCAGTGAAGAAATTTTTCCTAACATCTAGTCTAAACCTCCCCTGATGCTGCTTGAGGCCGTTACCTTGTCCTATCACTTGTTACTGGGGAGTAGAGACCGACCCCCACTTCACTACATCCTCCTTTCAGGTAGTTGTAGAGAGCAATAAAGTCCCCCTTGAGCCTTCTCTTCTCCAGACTAAACAACCTCATCAGGCTTGTACTCCAGACCCTTCACCAGCTTCATTGCAATGAGTGACACTTCTGTGCCAGGAAGCGGTATCTAACATTCTGTAAAGCTGCCATCCTTCTTAATCCCATTTTAAAAAGGGAGGTTTTGCTGGTATAACTTACCAACTTGCTAAATTTATGTCGTGTGATCTAGAATGCTTTCTGGAAGCTCAGGCTGTGCTGATGTGAGGGTGATCTGCTGGAAGTGGCCTGTTGACAGGCCTCATCCTCATGTTGGGTCTGATTTGTCAACCAGCTATCGAGCTCTGCACTGTGCTGTGTAAAAGGAGATAAGATGTCAAGTAAAGAGAAAAAACACTGCAGAGTAAGTTGTGGTGAGGAGATAACCTTCAGCTAGCAACAGACAAGACACACCAGTGCTAGAACTGAGAATGGTGTGGTGTTACTGTTGAGGTAATTTCCCTACTGAAAGGCAGACTGGGATGCCCAGTGCCACTTGTATGGAGCTTGCATACAGTTTTCATACTGTCCTGACTAGTCTTTTTGTATGATGCCATCTGCATGTACAAATTCAGAGAGATAGCTAAGAGAATGTCTTAGCAAATGCTGCTGTGTGTTCCCCTGCTCAGGACCAGAGAATTTACAGTACTTTTAGGCTCTGGTAGGTATTGGCCTCCTCCAAAGCAACTTAGAGTAGCAGTAAGGTCTTTTATTCTGCTGAAAACAGCCAGAGGGCAGATTGTTCTCCCCAGTACCATCTTGAAGGCAATGCAAAGGAAAAAACTGATTGACAGATGGAAAAAAGCCTCTCCTCTTCCATACCATTAAAAGGGAAAAAATTCTCTGTTGCCCAGGTCAGAGGGGATAAGCCCCATATACCTGTTGATTCAAGAGCACCATGATGGCAACCTCCTTCCAGAAGCTGCATATCCTGAGTAAAATATTAATGATGGCAAAAGATGCACTGCCAAGAATACTAATGGGAATTTAATTGTTATGAAATTTTAACAAAGTTTAACAATTTTGTTTACATTTTAATTATAAGACTGCATTTATGCCTCATAAAACATAAGAAATAGAAAATCGGTCTTACACTGTGTTTAAGTATCATGTGACTAGTTTGAGCTGGTTTTTACAGTAGATATGCTAAACTTCATTTTAGCCTTGCTGAGAATTTTGGGGGAAGGCGTGAGCAAAGGTGTTACTGGTAATATTTAGTAATGATGGGTGTATATAAAAGAGGAGGGACTTCTCCTCATGTTTGGGTGTAATGACTGACCTTGCATAATTCAGAAAGAGGTGGAACCGTAGGGAGTAATGCCTTTGTTTGAAAAGCATGGAGTGTCATTCTCAGAAGCATGTTTTACATATTACTTTACTCCTACATTAATACTCTCTTCTTTCCTCCTGCATTAATACTCTTTTTCTACAGAGTTACTACCATTACAATGGTAATGCTAGTGAAATTCTTGTTTTATTTACTTTCAGTGGCAAGCTGGTTAGAAGTTGCAGAGGTAGGAGGTTTGAGGGATATATAACTAATTCCACCTCTACCCAGTGAACCAAACAGTTTTGCTTTCACAGAAAATTAGAAAGGAAATTTTCAGTAGCTTTCTTCAAAAGTCATTATACCAGATTAAAACTGATAACAGACAGGAAATCTCTGCCCTTTTATTAGTATGTTTGCTAACTGAAAAGGTATTTCTGAATTGGAATTTTTTTTTTAAGTGGGGAGTGGCTGCATTTCGCAGGCAGGCTTCACTTTTCCCTGGATCATTTCTAAGTCTTTTATGCTTAGTTTTGTAAGATACATTTTGTTACTATTTTTTGTCTCCATTTCTTTCATCAGATATATTCATTAGCATCCAGAATTAAAATGACAGCCTGAAGCACTGTAAAAGCAGATGTGGAACCATAACCCAAGTAGCAGTTCCAGATTACTTACTTGAGGGTTCCCAGTTGCTCTGGGCTCTGAGAATTCATAGTACTTAAAAAAATAAAAGCTGTCATTTCCTCCATCAACAGCATTAAAGATAGATGTTAATGCCTTGTCTGGATGTGCACCAGGTAAAAGTCTGTCTTTTTGTTAGACCTGTGGTAAACCTGGCACATCAACTGTAGCCGTCTTCCAAAGCCACACACCTTTTGTTTTAGTTTTACATGCGCCTGAATTCTTAGAGTGTTTATTGTGGGCTAATACAGCTGAGTCTTTTGTAACTGACAATCATGCAAAACTAATAAAAGCAACATCAATAAAGTAAACAATCTACTGTGTTGGCTGTACTTGAGGTTAGTCTAGCAATGCATTCTCTGAAAGACCTGCAGCAAATGGGTTTGTATACCCATGTGATCATCCACACTTACAGCCAGGACAAAAACATTTGCACATATGCCATGCTGGAGCTGATGAAGCAAAGAGGCTATCAAATCAGAAGAGGTGCTGAAAGGATGTAAAGAACAGCAGCAGTGTAAAGGACGGGACTAGGCCAGCAATGGAAAAAAATCTGTTGAATTAAGAGCAAATCTGGATATTCAGCAACTAACTTAAAAATGCATAAACTTGTGGTATTCGCATGTTCATTTTACATACTGTTCTCGTGAGCATTCTCTGAGGTAGATATGATGCCTTTGAGGTGAGAAGAATCTCCCGATAGGAGGGAGGAGTTCCTCTCCACTCTTCCCCTTTCCTTTGGAATTCGCTGGTCAATCTATTCATGTGTATTTCTGCTAAAGGAACAACTTATATTCAGTATTTTATAAATCAAAATAACCCCTCAGACTGTTTTCTTTGTATGTAACACAACTGTTACTATTTTATTTATACAACTCCCATATTTTGATTAAATGAGAAATTATTGGTAGCCCTAATTTGCTAAATACAGCTGTATTATAAAATGAGTATCTGAGGTAGTTTTAATTTCACACAGGATTTAGCAAAATCACACATGCTGGAGGGAGGGTGTGGTTCTCTCAGCCATTCCTATGAAGAGTGTCTGTCTTGAACAAAACTCTTGAGGCTTGCGGTTTTGAAGGGGCTAATACAGATTTTCCTTCAGTGACTGTTTGATAACTGTCTTTCACCTTCATAATTTTGTAATGAAACAAAAGCAACTTCTTGGCAAATACATTTAAGCACAGCTATTTGAAAATGATATGTAAATAGTTCCTTTTTGCTTGAGGTTTGAGTACTACCAGTTCTTAATGTATTCTGAATCCAAGTTTTTATAGTTACTCTATATTTTCTGTGAGTTGTAGTTCCCATGCTCTTACACCTATTGCTAATTCCCAGTCCCCTAGGGAATTCAGATGGGAAGAAAGCAGCTTTAAGACAACTGGTAAGACTTGACAGTTGCAGAAATACAGGATGTTCTCAGTGTTTAAGCATAAGCAGAAAACTTAAAATACCTACCAACAGGCTAAAAGGGTTGGAGGTTTTTCTCTGGTTTTACACTTGAGATTTTTGTGGGGAATAGGAGGGAACAGAAGAGAAATCAAAACAAAAGGAGCTCTTACATTGGCTTGAAGATTGGCTACCAAATTTCAGACCACACCCACCAAGAAGGGATCTTCATCTCTTGTACTCAATCCTAGGGATGATGCAATGCTGACTTCCCACACAATAGGGAATAAAGTTATGGCGTAATAGCTTGGTTCTCACTCATAGTCAAACTGCAGAACTGAATAAGTACTTTTCTCATTGAAATTAGACACAACTGGAGAGTGGAAAAAATAAAAAAGAATTAGTCATTTTTTTCCCTAAAAAGGAGAAGTAAAACCAGTAAAAAGGAGATCTGGGAGCTAAACTGAAAAACAAGGAAGTATGTCTTCCTGCAGATGAATAATGAATGTCTTAAAGATAAAACAAGATTAAAATTGAGATGATAAATGCTCAGAGAATTAATGAGCATGATAAGAAATAATAACAAAAAAAATGCAAAAAGGAAAATGTCCCTTTTTCTAATTTTTTTTTTTTTTAGGTACATTAACAACATTAATGGGATTTTAAGTCCTATTACATTAAATGCTGTTATTTCCCTATGAAGCTTGGCTATAGCTGTCTTCTTGCTAGTGTTGTTTACTGCTTCTCATCCACTAGATGTACCAGCCTCAGCTAGCACTTGTCTGGGGCTTGATTTCACTGAGTTCT